ATTAAGCTTAGGATTTCATAATTTATTAAGATATAGACATTTACAAATTGCCAATTTTCAAAAAAAAAAAAAAAAACAACAAAAATTCAAATTCCAAAGGGTTACAAAGTCAAATAAAGAACTTTAAATTATAAATACTTGTTGTTAGATAAGAAAAAAATGTTCCCATTTTCATTATAACCATAGTTAAAATTGGGAAAAAAAATAATGAAATTGAAAATTAAATAAAAATTTCAAAAATTTTCCCCAATATGAGGATTGGCAATTTGCCAATTGTTTAGAAATGGAATGAATTCATGATAAATTGTTCTGAATTACCTGTAAATTTTCAACGATTATATTGAATATTTATATTTCTTTCATTTTTGTAAAATTTTGATGAAATGCTATACAAAATACTCTATAAGGGAGTTTAGCTTTTTTTTCAAATCATAGAACTTAATTTTCATACATCCTTGTAGATTCATTATGATATAATTCTGAGATATGAGGAACATGAATAAAAATCAAAGAATTGTTTTTTATTAAAATCTAGGCTTTTTAAAAATTATTATTGCACATTTTTTTCTTATAATCTTACTAAAATTTTTAAAGTTCATGGCGTCAAGAAAACGAGGTAGGCCGTTTGGTATACAAATAACTTTTGACATGGATGTCACACGTCTAATGCTTAAAGATACTTATCTTTTGAAACAACTAGTATTAATCATCTACTCTGTAATGACAGATATTAACCTTTTATTCATAATCGTAGTCAAAATGCAACGTACCTCGTCGTCTATGATTTCAAGCGGACATGCATGTCTATGCATTGTCTACGCACTTCCTTCATCAGTATTCATGAAAAGGTTGAATTCTTGCTTAATTTTTTTTTTTTAATTACAACGACTAATTTAATATACTTTTGTGGAAAGTATTATTTTTTCATTACACATTTCTCAAATTATTACATGATTTTCACATAAAAAATCGCGTTTTATAGCGTGTATACCTTTAATTATTTAATATTACATCCATTTTCTTGGGGAACAATTCAGTTTCATTTGCGGGGACGTGTGTGGGTGGGTGGGGTACAACTACTGGGTAGATACACATGAATATAGAACCTGAACTTGAAAATGAATAATCTTTCCTCCACTGGGAAGAAGTTAATCTGACCTTTAATGGTGCCCCCTGCCGTTTTCAGTGAATAGAAACAACTGTATATACAAAAAAAAAAATTCTCCAACCTTCTCCAAAATTAATGTAGGCTCTGCTTACAAGGATAATATTATTACTATTATGGTTATTCAGACAATGTATCAAAAAAATTTAAAAAAGCACAATGTAATTTTATTAATAGTATTTAGGCCTATCATAAAAAAAAATAAATGCCATGACAAAATTTGACAGACCCTCCACCCCCCCTCCCCTTCCCCCCACACTTGAATGAAGTTGTCACTCCTTCATCATGTTATAGATCTTACATTCATGCCCGTTTTTAATTTATACCAGTTTGTACTGCAAAATGGCATATGTTTTGGCTGCAGTCATATGTTCTTTGCACAAGCGGAATATTGTAGACGTGTATCATAAATTCATGATATTTGCTTTGTCCTTGCTTGTTTTAGGATGATCCTTCTATCCGAATACATGCACAATGTTTGCTTGTCTCTCCAGTAAACAAAACGGCATCGAGATGTTTTAAAGCATATAATAAATGTTTTAACAAGTAGAGTTTATCACAATTTTCCTTTCTACACACCGATACAACATAGAAGGCCTAAGCGCAGGGGCTATTTGCTTGATCAAGCTGGATTGTTTTTTTTCCCCTTACATTTAAAGATCTTAGAAAAGAGTGTTTTCACTTTCATAGTGTAATGATGCTCACAACAACTCCCTAAGTTCATATAAAATGCCTTCTTTATTCCATGTTGATATATATATACCTGTCATTTTTACCCTATAATACTAAAGAGTTCCAACAAGGGGATAACAATCAAACTCCAGGGAATTGGTTGCAGAGGGCTAAAATAAGCAATAAAAATTTATATGAAGTATCTAAATCAGTTATTCCTATTTTTAAAAAAAATATATTAGATTTAGAATCTTCTTTTTTCATTTAGATATTAAAGAAATAGTCAACAAATATGATATGGACTTATTTAAAATATGTGAAATTGTAGCGAAGTATGGTATTTCAAAGTTAACTTTCAACATGTAGATATTATTTCCCAAGCTCAATATTTTAATACTTAGTAGACCTAAAACCATTCTAAAGATTACACTTCAATTTTTTACTTGGTCTTGAGAGAAAATAGCATCAAAAAATGGCTAAAAAATCATATTCGTTGATTTGGGATCTATAGACCTTTAAAAAATAAAACATTCATTTGAATTACGTTTTTCTTCATTAATTGTATGAATAAGACCATGGTTTTGAAAAGAAAAAAAAATGAAAATAAACTAATGCCAGAAGGTCACTTTTTTAATTAATCAGTTTGTATGTTTTTTCCTGATAATTCAGTGTGATTTTCGACAAATATGCAAATGAGCTGTAACTAAAAATAGATGCGAGGTTCGACAATTTTTTTGTAGATATTCTGACTTCTACTTTTATGAAGAAAAATTTAAGCCACTAAAAATCCTATGTTGCAAACTTCCATTTTGGACGATTTTCTTTTTTAATTTTGCATGGTTTTCTCGCGGACTGGCTCTTAAAAAGATGCTTGAGTTCCTTATTGACAACATTTATGTAGTCTTCGGAGACCAAGTCTTCCAACAAATTTTTGGAATTGCAATGGGCACTAATTGTGCTCCTTTATTATTAGCAAACCTGTTTTTATATTCCTATGAAGAAGAATTTATTCAAAAACTTATACATGAGAAGAAGTAAACACTTGCTGTGGCCTTCAACATTTAGATATATCGACGAGTTATTATCAATTAACAATTACAGTTAATTCCATTCATATGTCAAGTCGACATATCTCACTGAACTTGAGAAAAAAGACACCGCAGAGTCTACTGGATCTATTTCATATTTGAATGTTTTACTGACCATAAACGATAAAGGCAAACTAACAACTAAATTGTATGACAAACGAGATTACTTCAGCTTTTCCATCGTCAACTTTCCTTATTTATGTAACAATATCCTGTTTTCACCTGCATCAGGTATTTACATCTCACAGCTTATTCGATACTCACGAGCATGCTCCAAGAACGGTCAATTTTTAAACCGAGGCAGGCTACTGACAGATAAGTGGATGTTACAGGGATTTCAGCAACCTCGTTTAAAGTCAGTATTTCGTAAATGCTATGGTCGTTATAATGACCTTGTTAGCAAATATAACATATCATTGGGCAGCATGTTGGCTGATATGTTTCATACCCATTATTATGACTTTGTTATTTTACTGAATTTGACTACGGAATGTTCTGTCTACCTGATCCATAAATAGGGCTCAAGGCGGTTGTGGCCGGTCAACAGGGGATGCTTACTCCTCCTAGGCACCTGATCCCACCTTTGGAATTTCCAGGGGTCCATGTTTTATGCCCTGCTCACAAATTTGTAATGTTTGTCGATTTTTACGAGACCAACCACCGTTCGTTATCTTTATCTTGTCATTTTCATAGATACACTGTATACTGAGGTATACTTCATTAATATATTTTATATATTTAACTACCTATGAATCTGCAATGAATCATCTGTGTGTATGAAATTGACAACTGACAAAAAAATTGATGAAACAAGAATATCAACAGTCTCGTTTAAAGTCATCATTTTGTAAGTTCTATGGTCGCTACAGTGACCTTGTCAGCAAATACAATCCATCATTAAGTCATATGCTGACTGACGTTTTTCATACTGATTGTTAGGCCAGTATTTACACATTGAATTGTCGACGGATTTTTCCGTTATTTCCCGATCATGACAAGGAGTACACGGCGGGTGTGACCGGTCGGCGGGAGTTGCTCACTCCTCCATGGCACCTGATCCCACCTCTAATGGTTTTGGAGGTCCGTGTTTGCTCTGCACCCGATTGATTTATATTGTTTTAATGGACTTTGAGCTTTAATACTGTTCGTTATTTCCATATTTCACAAAACTTTGCATTGTCTTATACTTTCGAATTCTATGATTAATAGATAAAACGGCACAATATGTAAACTTGTCAAAGTTTGAAATCTGAATATAGCTACTACAAACAATTAACACTACTAACAAACAGTAGATAACTGTTATCCTCTAGTAGCATTTAAATACTTCGAATTAAGTGGATTTCGTAAACATTCTCTTTCTAATTGTATGAAATGAATGAGTTTTTAAAATTTTATTTTATGAAGCTGAAGTAAGGTATTAATATGTAACATCCCAAGCTTCTGCTATTCCCAGCCCCTTTAAAGTACTAGATCTCGCGAGATCCTCGTTCTTCCGCTCCTAAAGTTGTAGCTGCGTTTATTTTGGATTATTTTTTTTATCGTGTTTCATCTTTGATGTACGTTGTGCGTACAGTTAACATTGCACCTATCTGGCTTTCTTTAAGTGACCTAAGGGATGTAGAGCAGCTCAAAAGCTTCTTCAGACGATAATATTCCTGAAATTATCTCAGAGAAAGAAATCGTCACGAAGCAACGACAATAATACGTCTCCATTACAGCCCAAGAAAAGATGGGGCGATTTTGTCATCCCTAGAAAGAGACTGTAGGGGAAAACATTTACCATTACGCTGATTCAGAATTGGATAGAGATTCTATGCAGTCTGCTAATTTGTCAGACGTAGAAATTTCGTCATTTTCATCATTTATTTCTGCGGGCTATGGTCCGCGCAATGATGATGATGACGCTTGTTAACCTAAACGGTTTGACCTAGCAGATTTTGACTCCGAATACAGGTTATATACCAGTGTAACGGCCAATCCGGAAATTTCCGGTTTATTCAGCTACGGTTTTTCTTTGTATATCTCGGAAGTCGAATCATGGAAGGCACGATTTTTTTTGTAGCCAATTGTCTTTGACTCTGTAAGAGTATACCAGTGTCTAACAAATTTGGTATGTATATATTTAACCTAAACAATGTCTTGAGTATATTTTGCATAAGTATTTTTTGCTTTATTTTGGAATAACCTTGAATATTGAAATGTAAACATACCCATGTGGGCACAGTGTACAGTACGTAACGAAAGTAATTCTTAATCTTGCTATATTGTATATTTTTATCTTTAAAAGTCTTATTAAACTTCATAATTTAGAGAATAGGAATTATAGTAAACATACATATTTATGTCTTAATTCAAGAAAGATAACTTATGTTTAAAGTATGCATGCATTATATTGTTATTTCATTCTTTATTGTAGTCAATCGCATCAAAATAATAAACGTTGGAATTTGGATGTGAATATGACTTATAGTTATACTGGTATAAATTTGGAAGGCTACATTATTGACAAATTTGAGGGCTGAATCATTAGAAGGACCATGATGGCTGACAAACAGGATACAGATACTAAGGAGCAGCCAAAGCAGGAGGTTGATGAGAAACCAGAGGAACAGGAGAATGGTAACATTGAGGAGACTCAGAGTGAACCTGCGGCTCGAGCTAGAACATTCACTGAAAAGGGACGAATTTATAGTGAGCAACAAATGGAGAAATCTTTCAGTAGTCTTAAGTCACTATGCACAAGAATAACAGTAATGGTGAACAATCGGGAACCAGAAGAGAGGATAAGTCAGAAGTACAGAGATTGGATGGAATCTTATGAAGACTTCCTTGATCGTCATTACTCACATTCCAGGAAATTAAATCAAACTGACTTATCAGACTATTTAAAGACATATGATGAAAGAGAAACATATTTACAGAACTTTAAGACTGCACTACAAGATTATTTTGCCTCACAAGCTAAGATAAAGGAACAACAAAGTAAATCATTACCTGAAGATGGTCAAGATAACAGATCTTTTGGTCGTGGACAATATTCTACTGTTAGTGCTGTATCTTCTCGGAAGTTGGCAGAAGAGGAAAAAAGGGCTGAGCTTGAAGCAAAGAAAGAATCCTTAAAGAAAAAGAAAGAAATAGAGCTAGCGAAAGTGGCACTCAAGATGGAAGAAGAAAAGCTTGAAATAGAAACAAACATCGCTATGGCTAAGGCAAAAACTAAAGTGTTTGATAAATTTGAATAAAGTAAATTTGACCAAATACACACAGATACTAAAGGATACAGAACACCAGAACCATTCAGATATGGAGAGACAGAGAGACATAGAGGAGATTTTTGAAAAGTGGAACTTAAGTGACGAAAGTTTAGTAGAGCGTGCTTTGGGTGTATATTGGTTCATAGAAAAAGATGTGCTTGGATTTCAAATGAACATCAATAAACAACCAGCAACTAGGCGTGGCATTTTAAGTATGGTTAGTTCGGTCTATGATCCTCTTGGAATTGTTTCTCCCTTTATTTTGACAGCCAAATCCATATTACAGAACTTGTGTAGAAGGGGGATAAGCTGGGATGAAGAAATTCCTGCTAAGGAGCTTGTGAAATGGAACAGTTGGCTTCAGCAATTGCCCGACTTGGAGAAAATAAACATCTCGAGATGCTACAAGCCAGTGAATTTTAAGAACATTGTTACCTGTCAACTTCATTGTTTTGCTGATGCAAGTGAGATTGGGTATGGATCCGTGTTTTATCTCAGACTGTTAAATGAAGAAGGACACGTTCACTGTGCCTTTGTGTTAGGAAAATCAAGAGTCTCGCCCCTGAAATCTGTGAGTGTACCCAGATTAGAACTGACAGCGGCTACCAGTGCAGTGAAACTTAGTAGAATGATAATGAAAGAACTGGACTACTTTGTTCATCAAGTATTTTACTGGACAGATAGCATGACGGTAATTCGATATATATCCAACAAGAAAACACGTTTCCACACCTTTATAGCAAACCGTTTGGCTATGATTCATGAAGCAACTGAAGTGGAACAGTGGCATTATGTAGACACAAAACAGAATCCAGCTTATCTGGCATCTAGAGGGATGACCATGGAAAAGTTTCTGAAAACTCACCAGTGGTCACAAGGACCTGACTTCTTATGGAATGATGAAGACAAGTGGCCAAAGTGTTATGAAAACTTGAACATTCCAAGTGATGACCCAGAAGTAAGAAAACCTGTGAATGTTTGTACAAATGTGACAATTCAACCAGAAGGAGTTGAATGTTTGATTCACTATTGTTCAGACTGGTTTAAATTAATCAAGATGACTGCCTGGCTGATTGTGGCAAAGGAATATATAAGATCTGCAGTGAAAGCTAAACAAGAAGTGCTCAAAGAGGAGTGGACAAAGGAAAGCCAAAAAGAAAAGAGATTACAACTGACAGTTCAAAAGCGAATTGAAGCAGAAAAGGCTCTGATTTATTATGTGCAGCAGAAACATTTTAGTGAGGAAATTGAAGCCTTGGAAAATATGAATGATTCTGGAAAAAAGAGGAGCATAGGATCCAAATCTTCACTGCGGAAGTTGGACCCATTTTTAGATAATGATGGCCTGTTGAGAGTTGGTGGAAGGTTGGAGCGTGCGGAAATGACATTTGATGCTAAACACCCTATAATCCTTCCAAAAAATTCTCCAGTGTCAAGTCTCATCATAAAGGATGCTCATCAAACCATCGGACACATGGGAAAAAACTCAATCTTAAGTGTTATAAGACAGAAATATTGGATTCTCGGTGCAAGTGTGATGATTAAAAGTTTGGTGTCCAAATGTGTGATATGCAAGAAATATAAAGGTGTTTCTGAAAAGCAAAAGATGGCAAATCTTCCAGAAGAAAGACTTCAGTCAGATGAACCACCCTTTACCAGGCTTGGAATGGATTTCTTTGGACCCTTTGAAGTAAAGCTAGGGAGAAGTACAGTCAAGCGTTATGGAGTGATTTTCACATGTTTAGCTACAAGAGCAATACATCTTGAATTAGCCTTTTCCCTGGACACAGATTCATGTATAAATGCCATTAGAAGATTTATAGCAAGAAGAGGAGTACCGTCTTTCATTCGTTCGGATAATGGCACTAATTTAGTTGGTGCAGCCAAGGAAATGTCAGAGGAAATACAGAGATGGAACTTGCATCAGATACATGAATTTATGCTTCAAAAGAAAATTCAATGGGAATTCAACCCACCAGCTGCTTCACATTTTGGTGGTGTGTGGGAGAGACTCATTAGATCTGTTAGAAAAGTTTTGTATTCTGTGATGTGTGAACAAAATTTTCGCATTAGTGATGAAGGACTTTCTACACTCTTTTGTGAAGTTGAAGCAATTCTAAATGGAAGGCCAATTACAGAAATGTCAGAAGATGTACATGATGTGGATGTACTAACACCAAATCATTTGTTACTTCTGCGACCTGGTGAGAGATTTCCCCCTGGACTTTTCGATAAAAAGGACGATTATGTGAGACGACGATGGCGTCAAATCCAGTACCTGGCTGACATATTTTGGGCAAGGTGGAAAAGTGAATATTTACAGCTTTTATAGAAAAGGCAGAAATGGACAAAACCAACAAGAAATATGAAATTTGGTGATACTGTTCTTGTGATGGCCAACTCTTCGAGGAATACATGGATTATGGGACGTGTGATCGAGACAATGAATGACAGAGATGACGTTGTGCGAGTTGTCAAAGTGAAGACAGGATCATCAATCCTGACGCGTCCAATCAGAAAACTCTGTCTACTTGTTGAGTCTGAGTGATGATAACCCTGCGGCATGGAACAGACAAGTGACTATAGTTCAACTATAAATATCTTTAGTATGAAATAATTTGAAATTATTTTATTGAACATGCATTATTTGTATATATAATTTTTGATTGGCCTTATTTGTAATGAGTTGATAATTGTGTTTTTGTGGAAACTCAATTAAGGGGGCAGTATGTAACGGCCAATCCGGAAATTTCCGGTTTATTCAGCTACGGTTTTTCTTTGTATATCTCGGAAGTCGAATCATGGAAGGCACGATTTTTTTTGTAGCCTATTGTCTTTGACTCTGTAAGAGTATACCAGTGTCTAACAAATTTGGTATGTATATATTTAACCTAAACAATGTCTTGAGTATATTTTGCATAAGTATTTTTTGCTTTATTTTGGAATAACCTTGAATATTGAAATGTAAACATACCCATGTGGGCACAGTGTACAGTACGTAACGAAAGTAATTCTTAATCTTGCTATATTGTATATTTTTATCTTTAAAAGTCTTATTAAACTTCATAATTTAGAGAATAGGAATTATAGTAAACATACATATTTATGTCTTAATTCAAGAAAGATAACTTATGTTTAAAGTATGCATGCATTATATTGTTATTTCATTCTTTATTGTAGTCAATCGCATCAAAATAATAAACGTTGGAATTTGGATGTGAATATGACTTATGGTTATACTGGTATAAATTTGGAAGGCTACAACCAGCAAAGAAAAGTTTGTGAAAAAAGTTTTCACAACTCACCCTAGTGATGAGCGAATTAACACTAGTGTGCTTGACAAACACCCTGTGCCAGCTAATGGATTCCTTAATCCTCCAGAGGTAGATGCATTCATTGAAGACCTCGTCAATGACAAAAGGGCATTTAAATTCCTAAAACTCCTTTGATTTACTATAGTAAAAACTTTGGAACTTTAAGTTACTATAGTGAAAACTTTGGAACTTTGATTTACTATAGTGTAAACTTTGAAACTTTGATTTACTATAGCAAAAACTTTGGAACTTTGATTTACTATAGTGAAAACTTTGAAACTTTGATATACTATAGTAAAAACTTTGGAACTTTGATTTACTATAGTAAAATCTTTTCTTTCAAAAAGGTGGCTCCCATCAGCCACGTACCTCCGATCACTTGACTCTATGCTAATTTAGTGTTTCGGCGGTGTGAAACGATGTAGATTTATATAAATTAAATTTATAATGAAGAAATAATTTTCTTCCCGTGGAATTATGTTTTTGATTCTCATTCTTTACATTTTATGATATTTCAAGTCTAAGATTCATAAAAGCTTTAGAGAACATTTTAAAACCCGACCCCTCCCCTAAAAGAATAATGTACAAGATATGAATTTTAATGTAAAGGTTGTCGCTTGCGCCAATAAAATAGCAATATTTATTTCAATGTATTTAATTTTAATGTTATGCAGATGTAACGTAAGTCTTATTTATGGAGAAAAAATAATATATTATAAAAAAAATTGTGTCATTTAGAATCAAAATATCTGCTCCATCAACTTCAGTCAACATCTTTTTTTTTAAACCATATCCCCCCTCCCCTAAAACGGCTAAATAACCAAAAAGATTTCATAAAAATACATAAGTTGTTAAACTAATAAAAAAAACTTTGAAACTTTGATTAAATATAGGGAAAACTTTGAAACTTTGATTAAGTATAGGGGAAACTTTGAAACTTTGATTGACTATAGCAAAAACTTTGGAACTTTGATTTACTATAGTGAAAACTTTGGAACTTTAATTTACTATAGTAAAAAATTTAGAACTTTGATTTACTATAGTGAAAACTTTGGAACTTTAATTTACTATAGTTAAATATAGTGAACTATAGTTAACTATAGTTTACTATAGTATTTTTTTGTTAGGGATGTTCAGAAAGAAGTATCTATATGCCTAGGCCCTCTTGCTGAGATTTGGGAAGAACTCGATGGAGCCCACGATGGTGATTAATCAGGCAAGTCAATTCAAGAAGTTACAGAGCTTGTTGAAAAAACTATCTTGATGATGGGACAGGTTAATAAAGCCTGTTTTAATGAAAGACGTTTAACTTGGCTAGCTAAGTTGTTTAAAAGTGTTACCAATGCTAAATCTATCATCAGAGATCATAATGAAAATTTTGATAAGGAACAAAAAAATTTTGGATCAGAATTTTAAAAAGTTTTAGATCGCAAAGCCAAGAACAGAAAAAGAGCAAGAGAAATGGTTAAGGAGATGAGACCGGAAAATGGAGCCCGACCCTTTACAGAGGGATACTCAAGCAGCAAAAACAATTCGTCAAAACCTTGGAGGTCGACTACGAGGAGGACCAAATAAGCCAGAACAAATAAAGGGTGACAAGTCAGGTATCAACACAGTCAATCACAAAAAAACCCTTCAAAGCCAGGTATTTATTGCCAAGTAAACATAGATCTAGCAACTTGCTCAACTTCAGACAGATCTTATTGTTTATCAAATCACAAAGGTAAAATCAGATCATTGCAATCTCCAATCACTGCTTTGTCATCTGGGTGTTGTGGAAAGAGTTCAGACTCAGTCCTCATTAGGGGGCAGAATTGCTCATTTTCTGACAAATTGGGAAAAATTACATGAGATCAACTTATACTGTCCACAGGCATAAAACTTGACTTCATAAATCAACCTGTTCAGAATTTGCCCATACCAAATCAAATGATTTTTTCCACAGAGGAGAGGTTGGCATTAAATCAGGAAATCAAAGACATGATGACAAAACAGGCAATGGAGATTGCAGAACTGGACAAAAAAATGGTCAGTTTCTGAGTACTCATTCGCCACCAAAAAGATGGAGGTTTAAGGTCAATTTTCAATCTAAAAAATGCTAAATGATTCCATAGGGTACGAACACTTGAAATCGGAAGGGTTTCAGGTTGTAAAAACAACTCGGACGCAAGGGGACATCATGTGCAAAATAGATCTCAAAGATGCTTATTTCTGTGTCCCAGTAGACCCGAGTCACGGGAAATACCTGAGATTCATTTGGGAGGGAAAATTACTACAATACAAAAGCCATTTTTGTGGTCTACCTAGACGAAATGTTGATACTGAATCAGACAAAAGAGGGCTTGATAAAGGATAGAGACACTTTGATTTGGATGTTACATTTTCTGGGGTGAGTGATAAATGGAAAAAGTTCGTAACAAATCCTGTCCAAGTACTGGATTTTCTGGAATTCCAATTTGATTCGAACAACATGACAGTCTCCCTGCCTCAGCCAAAGTAAACAATCTAATCAAAGAATGTCAAAACGTTTTACAGTCGAACCAGGTTGAAATTCTGGCAAGAACTGGCAAGTTTGGTTGGGTCCTTAAACGCAACAGTAGAGGCAGTAATACCTGCAGCTTTGTACATGAGGAAACTCCAATTGTAAATGCATCAAACAAACTATTTACTAAGATCTCAGAATTATCTGAATATTGTATATTTGCCCAGTCATTGCAAACCAGAAATTCAATGGTGGGTCCAACAACTAAGGGATTGGAATGGGAAACAAATTCTAAGTGTGAGCCCCCAGTTGACAATAGAAACAGATGCATCAAAAGAGGGGTGTGGTTCCACTCCCCATCACTCAAGGTAAGAACGGGGGGGGGGGGCGCTTGGAACTAAGAAGAGCAGAACATGCACATAAATAGCTTAGAAATGAAAGCGACAATTACAGCAATCAAATCCTTGACCAAAACAAGGGAAAATATTCATGTACATCTAAAGATGGACAATGTAACAGCGGTCTCTAACGTGAACAAAAGGGGGCACCAAATCCCATATTCTCTATACAATCGCGAAAGAAATATGGGAATACTGCATGTTGAAAACGATCATTCTTACAGCGGAATATCTTCCAGGTTGCCAGAACAGCATAGCCGACTGGGAGAACAGGAATATTTAGGAGGTAAGCATAAACAGCTGGAGACTGAATCCAACTATATTCAGTCAAAGAAACAAAATACTGTGTCCTGTCAAGATTGATCTGTTTCCAGATTGTTGGAATGCTCAGGTTCCTCAGTATATCTGTTGGAAAAACGACACCTTAACTTTCTCGGCGGATTCTTATCTGACAAGCTGGGAAAATGAGAAGAAAACATATGCTTTGCTTCCTTTCTGCATGATCCCCAAGTGTCTATCCAAACTCCAGAGGAAGGGGGGACATCTAGTTATGATAACTCCTGCATGACCGACGCAATCATTTTACCCACTGCTATTACAGATGGCAGTTGCTGCCACCACAGAAAAAATCTATTAATGTCAAGAAATGGGGGGGGGGGGTCATCCAATGATCCTAAATGGTACTCTAAAGTTAGTGGCCGGGAAAATTTCTTGAAATCCGAAGAAATTTGGAGTTTCAAAACAAACTTCAGTGTTACTCATCGCAGCCTGGAGACAGGGTGACCCATCAGATTTTGGAGTAAGGCAAACTTTCAAGACCAAAGATCTTCTAGGTCATTGCGTGTCACAACATAGCAATACGGCGGGCCTTTCGTGTAATAAATGCAGTTCTATTCGGAATATGCGTCTCAAATGTAAATATAAGTAGTAAACAACATTAATAAAAAGTTAACTTGAAAATGAACTTGGTTTGTACGTGATCAAATCTACTGAGAAGCCCTTCGGGCTTCACAGGATTTGATCACGTGACCAACCAAGTTCATTTCCCATTGTACTTTTTAACATTGTTGTTTATTATTTAAATGAAGCAATGAAATATTTCCATGTCTCTAATTTAAAAGGATTTAGTTTTGCTGTA